ATATATATATATATATATATATATATATATATATATATATATATAGATTATCCCCCCTCCCCATCCCGTAGTCCAGCTCCACCGTGCGCCATCCAAGTGGTATCAGAAACCAGCGCGTGACCGCCCCGTCCCTCACGCTGAGCTCCCCCCCCCCTCCGCCCGTGTGGCCGCTGTGGTTAAAGTCGCCATCGTGTCGACACCACGCCCAGTTTAACCTCGTCACTCTGTGCTTCACATCTGGCTACTCTAGTGTTGATCTGTTCTAACCGCGGCTGTTTCTGCTACACTTTTTTGTTTACTTCTGAAGGTAAACTTTTTCTTCCTGTTTTTTTTAAGGGTAAACTTTATTTGTTTTCTCACGAAGATAAGTATTTTGGTTTATTTCTGAAGGTAATTTTTTAAAATTTACTTCTAAAGGTAAACTATTTTCCTGTTTATTTTGAGGGTAAACTTTATCTGCTTGCTCACGAAGGTAAACATTGTCTTATGTTTTTGTTTACTCCAGCAGGTAAACTTGTTTTGTTTACTACGGTGTGTAAACAACGTATTTATGATTTATGATTTACTATGAAATTGGTCGGTGCAATTAAAAATTATTAAATTTCTTCCTGATTGTATTTGAACAAATGTGTACTTACAGTAATAACTACCTAATGAATCACTGTAATTAACTTGTAGCATTGTTATATAAGAGACTATAGTTTTCCCCTTATTACGAGTCAAAGGGAACTTTGGCTGGTAATTAGAAGCTTTAGAAATAATGGCTTAGCTACATCTGTATACCGGTTTTTGTTTTACTTCAATAAAACTACTTTATAGATACTTCCACAACAAGCTTAATTATGTTATGTATTTTTCTAGTGTGACTATCTAAAATACGATATAACTGAAACTTGGCTGTTGCGTAAATCTAATTATGTATATAGTTTATGGGAATGCGTGGCCTAGCCGTAGAGCGCTATACTGCTAACCGGAACGTCTCGTGTTTGAATCCGGATTCAAGTTCCTGAATCCACGTTGCAGTAGCTCGATTTTTGGAGTGTCTCAATGGTAGAGATGAGCAATGATTTGAGTAGGGCAATGATTAAAGTGGATCCATCCATGATTAGACTACGTATAGAGAGGAGTCGCACGATGGATATCTAGGATTTAAGCAATGAGTCCGAGTTTGATACAAAAATATGCTACGTTTTTGATACAAATGTTTCCACACTATACCGCAGTCTAAGCCCAACCTGGGCACAATGTCGGCTGTGTTGTAGCATGTATTCTAATCGATGCTGATATAAACACAGTTGGCGTATCTAACAACACAGTTAGTTGGTCTACAGCTGTCGCATCTGTTGACGGCTTTATTTGGGTGTCACATTTATCGGAGCACGGCTTGGTGGAGCCCAGATTGTTGGGGCCCGACTAGATGGAGCCTGGCTTGATGGAGCCCGGCTTTATAGAGCATCATCGAGCCATGCTTGATGGAGCCCGGTTTGATGGAGCCCGGTATGTTACTGAGCCCATGATTGCAACATGATAGAACCTTTTCTGGGGCTCCATCTTTTCTCAGCCCTTGTCAGAGCCTTATTACCTCACACAGCCCTTCCTTTGTCATAGTCCTTCTTTTTATCAGAGCCCTTCCTTTTGTCATAGCCCTTCTTTTTATCAGAGCCCTTCCTTTTGTCATAGCCCTTCTTTTTATCAGAGCCCTTCCTTTTATCAGAGGCCTTCATTTTATCAGAGCCCTTCCTTTTATCAGAGGCCTTCATTTTATCAGAGCCCTTCCTTTTGTCAGAGGCCTTCATTTTATCAGAGCCCTTCATTTGTCAAAGCCCTTCATTTTGTCACATCCCTTCATTTTGCCAGAGCCCTTCATTTTGCCAGAGCCCTTCATTTTGCCAGAGCCCTTCATTTTGCCAGAGCCCTTCATTTTGCCAGAGCCCTTCATTTTGCCAGAGCCCTTCATTTTGTCAGAGCCCTTCCTTTTGTCAGAGCCCAATTAGCTTCCACTGCCCTTCCTATTTTTGGAGCCCAGTTGGCTACCACAGTCCCTTCCTTTTTTCAGAGCCCTTCCTTTTGTTATAGCCCTTCCTTTTGTCACAGCCCTTCCTTTTGTCAGAGCCCAGTTAGGTACCAGAGCCAACCCCGTTTGAATCATTTTGTTGAGCTCATTTTCCTATAGCCATTTAACTCTTTTAGTTGAGCTCCGAATCTCAATTTGAACTCTGCTTTTTCGGAAAGTAGCCGACGAGTCTTTTAATATTTCCAGAATATTTTTTTCCCCCACTCCCAAGAAATATCTGACGTTTATCGTTATGGCAATACTAAATAATGGATGCCGTGTTTACAGTCGAGAGGGGATCAGTGGACGCTTGTTGTATGTCACTGTTTATTGTCCTATTGTCAACCTTCACCTTGGTTTTGTTTTCCCCTACTTTCTGTTTGAACTTTGAACCATGTCCGTATATAAATAAGATAGATCACGTGATCGGCGTGACGCCATGTTGTTTATTGTTGATCGACGCGGTATCTGATCATGTTGATGTTAAGTTGGTTGACAAGATTAATTAAATTGATGATGTCGCTTGTGGCCCGCAATATAGTGGCCATATTTGACTGGCTCAAATTTTTAATGGCCCACATTTTAATAGCCCACATTTTAATGGCCAACATTTCAGTGGCCCACATTTGGTCCACATTTTACTTGCCCACATTTTACTGGCCCACATTTCAGTGGCCCACGTTTCAGTGGCCCACATTTTAGTGGCCCACATTTTAGTGGCCCACATTTGGTCCACATTTTACTGGCCCACATTTTAGTGGTCCACATTTTACTGGCCCACATTTTAATGGCCCACATTTTAATGGCCCACATTTTAGTGGCCCACATTTCAGTGACCCACATTCTACTGGCCCACATTTCAGTGGCCCACATTTCAGTGGCGCACATTTCAGTGGCCCACATTTTAATGGCCCACATTTTACTGGCCAACATTTCAATGGCCCACATTTCAGTGGCCCACAATTCAGTGGCCCACATTTCAGTGGCCCACATTTTATTGGCCCACATTCACTTCAGTTTAGTGGCCCTCAGATTAGCAGACATCATTATAGTGTGCAAGACTCCGGTATACAGCCAAAAAAAAGTTCAAATTTGTGTATGTAAATGGCCCACTGGACCACCAATAAACACGTAAAATATGTGTATGCGAATGGCCCACTAGCCCAGCAATAAACACGAGTTAAAACCTGTGTATGTGTATAGTCCACTGGCCCGGAGCCCCATCAACTTAACCCATGTCATAACTGACACAGCAAATGTTATCGATCTCAGGATGATCTAGCTCAGCGCTGATTAAAAATGTTTCATCGATCCGCCAGCGATTTATTGTGACGCGGCAGCACAGATAGAAATAATATTATGGTTTTCTGTTAAAGACCCCCCTCCCCCCTCTATCGTCCCGGAGAATTTTCTCGCACGCGATGACAGTATTAGGGGAAGGACTTATGTCGAAACATTACAGGTCAGAGGTCGAGCTATAAGTTGACGGCTATGGACTAACGGTCAATGTTTGGTCAGACCTGGCAGTCTAGAAAAGGGGCAGTAATTTACAAAAAAATTTCAGGGAAGTAATTCAAGTCTGTTGATTAATTGTAGTTACCATTAAAACAATCACAAGATAAAATTGATTACGTTTAATTTTTATTTTTTGAGCGTCAGTAGAAATTTTTCAGGGGTCGTAATGCGGCTCATTACGATCACGTTACTTAGTTTAGTTAATGTTTTTATTATCGATGACATGATAGCTCATTATTTTAATTATTTATACTAATTAGCAGTAGCAGATCGGTTAGTAACTCCGATGGTATTATAATATAATTATGTCTAATTCTGCGCAAAACCCCCAAAAATAACCCCCATTTTTTGAGTTTCAAAATCTTGAGTAAATTATGAAGAAGTTTGTTACTAAGCTCAGTGTTGAGTGATGAAGAGTTTTGTTAAATTACAATGCACTAAACTGGCTTATATTATGATTACTGTGGTTGGGTATTAAGATTAAATTAGGGATTAACATTGTTTATACCCACACTGGTTAGTACATTAAATACCTATAGCAAAGTTTCTTTCAGATCTTTTGATCCGGGGATGGAAAGGGGAGGGTGGGGGGGGGGGGGGGTGGAGGGGACACTTTGCATTACTGGGGGGGGGGGTTACTTAAAACTTCTAAGTGTGATGGGAGTTAATACAGTTATATACTCTTTAAAACATTTTTTTTTCTATTTTGTAAGGGGGAAGGAGGGGGGAGAGCGATGGATGTACCGGTTCACAGAAAAGTATGCAAATAAAAAACTAGTTGTACTAATACACCTTAGTTTTAACATCTTTTTGGTAACATGTTTTGTTATATTATAATATAGAAGTGTTCATTCTTTGCTGAAGTCTATAAATGCTCGATTTTGAAAAATAGCAACACTCGTGTGCGCATTTTTCCTGTGCAGTTTTCCGTTGCACTGTTTCCCGTTGCGCATTTTTCAGGTCAACGGATGTATCGCCCCACCCCAACCAAGAGAGAAAGCCTGTAAGAAACACTATCTATAATCTTGTTTAATAAAGCAAATGTTTTGTTTCTTCCACAGTGAAAGCTATGGACGTACGACTACATCACAGAGACAACTCTAGACGGAAATTTTCTTAGCAGAACCAACACCGCTTTTGTATTAGACATCGTTGTTATCATAACTTTTGTAGTCATCGTAATTCAACCATAGGCGCCTCATCTCTAGAACTTAAACACGTCAACAAAATTACCCTAGGCGCCTTGTCTCTATAACTTGACCAACTCAACCAAATTTACCCTAGGCACTTCGTCTCAGAACTTGACCAAGTCAACGAAATTGACCATATGTCCCTCATCTCTAGAACTTGACCGTCAACAAATTAACCTTAGCCACCTCGTCTCTAGAATTCTAGAAGTCAACAAATTGACCCGAGGCACTCGTCTCAGAACTTGACCACGTCAACAACTTTCACCTCCATTCACCCCGCGCCCTGCACTAGACAGCCCCAACGATCCCCACCCCCCAGACGTCCCGGCACTGATTCCAGATACCCCGTGTCACAAACATGGGACATGTTATTTAGATTCCATACATAATTAATGAGCCGGCTAATTGTCGCAGCGGCTATTGATTCAGACAGTAGTTGCCCATGTCTTCTGTCTAGCGCTAGCAGGCCAGTAGCAGATATGTGACACTGGACAGCATTTAATTATTCCATTCACACCTCGGAGTAAGATTTGCATTGTTCTATTCATAATACGCGCTGGTCAAACCTATTGTATTACGGAGTGAACGTCTTCTAGAAAGGGAGATCAGTGAAGTCAAAAAATTACTGGATTATCTTTAAATTTAAACCAACACCTTATTTAGTTCTTTCAAAAGTTGTACGCATTTGTATTATTTCATACCGTGAACAAGTTCTTAAACCGGATGTTATTATTTCTGTGTCCTGTTAAGGGAGATCACTCGATTTAAATAACCCGGATTACCTTCTAACCTTTGAACTGGAAAAACCCAAGAACCAGCATTCTATTCTGTCCGCTATATGTTTGGAAAGTCCTAAACAACGACCCCAGTTCCACTACAGTATGGCGGACACCGACCAAAGGAACAGAGTAGTCTTCCTCGGCGCGGGGCGTGTCGGGAAGACCGCCATCTTGAAGAGGTTCCTCTTCAACACCTTCCAGGAGGAGTACAAGGAGACGGTGGAGGATTTGTACGCACGTGACTACAACATCCGGGGCTCGTTGATCAAGGTGGATTTCCTGGACACGGCGGGGAACTTGACCTTTCCGGCCATGAGGCGGCTGTCCATCACGACTGCGCATGCGTTTGTGTTGGTGTATTCCATCACGCTGGCCGAGTCGTTTGAAGAGGTCAAGAAACTGTGGGCACAGATTCAGGAGGAGAGGGCCAGCTATAGGGTCAGTATTGTAGGGTCATTGTGGGTCAGGCTTGGTTAGATGGGTCAGGCTTGGTTAGATGGGTCATTCTGGGTCCGTATTGGTTAGATGGGTCATTTTTGGTCAGGCTTGATTTGCTGGGTCATTGTGGGTCAGTTGTTGTTAGCTGGGTCGGTGGTGGTCAGTCGTGGTTAGATGGGTCAGTCTTGATTTGCTGTGTCATTGTGGGTCAGTCGTGATTACCTGGGTCAGTGGTGGTCAGTCGTAGTTAGATGGGTCAGCCTGGGTCAGTCATGGTTAGCTGGGTCATTCTGGGTAAGTCTTGGTTAGATGGGTCAGTGGTGGTCAGTCGTGGTTAGATGGGTCATTTCGGGTCAGTGCTGATTAGATTGGTCAAGCTAGGTCAAGCGTGGTAAGATGGGTCATTCTGGGTCAGTCGTTGTTGGACGGGTCATTCTGGCTAAGTCTTTGTTAACTGGGTTATTCTGGGTCAGTCTCGATTGTGTGGGTCAGTCGTGATCAGTTTGGGTCAGGAATCTGGGTTGCCGTGTACAACCCGTGTTACCTGGTTGAGCCATGTTGAGTGAGATCAAAATGTTTTACCCTGGGTCAGGTTGACACTAGGTGTCACGTGATAGGGTTACTTCCGGGTCTAGGTCACGTGGACTGTTCGAGTCAATGTACTTAGACAGAACCAGTCCTGAAGCACTCGTTAAAAAAAAACACTTAAGTCTGGAAGTCAGTCAAAAATGACATATTTTAGATGAACACTATCCTGTATCATTTAGATCTAGATGTTTCCATCGGGTCAGACAGACCCGTTGTATATGAAATCTGGGTCATAATTTTCCGTCTGGGTCACAGTGTCAGTCGAGGTCAGTGTTGTCTATTTGGGCGTTGATTGTCAGTTGTGTTGAGCTAGTCCACCCCAGGTTTGTGTCGACCGTATGAGATGGTTCGTCGCTTGCAGCTTCAATACACGAATTGGTTCGCGGTGTTTTCACTAACATTCCCCATTGCCAACCAACTATTATTATTATTTTTTATTTTTTTAACAGACTTCCTTTATTACTAGTTTAAGCAATGATCTCATAGGAATAGGTGTCGAGAATTCAGGCTTGACTCTCTTAGTGCTGACAAAATGGGCTTTCCTTGCCTGGGCGGGAACTGTCTTAGTGTTAGCTTTAACACCTGTCTCCTTAGCTTGTCTCTTCAGCTCTTTATTTTTCTTGACGCGTTTCAAGAAATCAAGACGGCAGTTACTGTGCTCAACATGCTCAATTCTGACATTGATCTGTTTGGGGATAATACGGTTGCCCAACTGTTTAAGGACAACCAACAGCATGAGGAGTTACATTGAAAACACGACCAGGATTCCCATTATAGAACTTGTGTGGCATACCTTTTTGAATGGCACCATCACCCTTAATGTCAAAGATGTCCCCACATTTGTAAACGGACATATAACGTGAGAGCTTGGTCACACCTTTGTTTTCTAAATGTCCGTGAGAACATGTACCGCGTGCCACGGCGAAAAACCTTTTTCTTCTTCTTCTTCTTCTTCTTCTTCGAGCCTTACCTGCCAGAGGGTTTGAACTCGAGACTTTTTTCGAATTTATCACCCATGAGCTTTGCCGACTCGACCTCCATCACAATTAAGGATTACGTGTCAACTGGTTTTGCGCCATTGAGGCCATTAACTCCGATTTCAGCCTGCTTTTCTTTTTGGATTTGCTTCCATAGCCTTTGTCCAACCAAGAACAAGCTACAAGACAGCAATTGTTTGATTTTGGAGTTGTCTCTCCTAGAAGAGTGGCTGTCCCAAGCTAGCTGTCCCTCATCTGCCCGAGGGTTCGAACTCGAGAATTTTCGGTTTAGCAACCATGAGCTTTACCGACTCGACCACGCCGACCCCTTTTGGAAAACCTTTTGGATTTGTCATTTTCAATCACAATAAGTTTGTCCTGTCCCCCACACGGCTTTTGGAAGAGTATCCGTGAAATTTATCTTAACCACTACTGTGATGACGCTAGTTTAGGTCAAGTAGAAGAAGTTAATAGAAGCAGGCTATGGCTAGTTGTTTAGAGAGACCAATGAAAGTACAGGAGCTGACCGGTCATGTGGGACGGGCAGCTGACCACTGAAGCGTGGGTCTGCCTGTTAGGCCCGGCAGTTGATAGTTAGCTAACAAAGAGATCGGTCAGAGTTAGAGAAATGTAGAGTTTAGTAGAGACGGTCAGACGTATGTAGAACTAGGGAACAGTTAGATAGAAGTGGTAGTAGTACAGTATAGATTAGTTAGCTAGGAAGTTGATTATGTAAATTAAAAAAAAAAGAACATTATATTTTGACTTGAACTTGTGTGTTGGATTTTCATCATCTTCACCCTCCCCCTCCTCACAGTTGGTGGTGCTGCCTTTTCCCACCCTCACTAATGGCGGAGGATCTTCTATTCACCCCGACACCACAACTACCCTATACGGTAGTTTATAATCTTCAACCTTTGTTTAACATATTAGGTTAGGTTATGTTTGCCTGTCGTCCCTCCTGGGACATATACCGCTGACAAGAGCTTTCCAGGCGTCTCTGTCCTGGGCTAGTCTCTCCAACTGTCCCCAGGTGTATCCAATCTTCTTGGTGTCTTCTTCCAGGTCACGTCTCCAGGTCTTTCTTGGTCCGCCTCTCCTCCTCCTGCCTTGTGGATTCCAGGTGAGGGCCTGTCTTGCTATGCTGGATACAGGCTTCCTGAGTGTGTGGCCAATCCATTTCAATTTTCTCTGGAGGATTAACTTAATACCTGTGGTTTAATATTCATCGTGTCTGCTGGTTTGGATAGGCTACTTAATTTTCAGCTGTATTTAATAGGTTACCTTATTGCCTAATATATGTATAGCCTGTAATTATTTGTTATACTTTATTGTCTCTAATTTTGTTTACTGTAGGCTTATTGGTTAGGTTAGGTTAGCCTGTCGCCCCCTTCTGAGACATAGGCCGCTGATTACTATCCGGTTAATTACCCCTTCCTGCAATTAATTAACGTGGCGGTAATGACCTGCTCCCAATCTAGTATACTTAATTACCTGTAGTCTGATATTTTTTTCTGTAATTTTGTCTACCTTTCTTAAGTGACATCCCCGGCTGTGGAGTTGTCTCCCATTAGCCAGTCAGGCCTCAACACGACAAACTCCGAATAACTGGCTTGGATATCTGTTTGATTATCATGTATTGGTCTCGTACCTTACTTGCTAATATCTCATATACATGTCATATTATGAATTCCTGTGGGGTACAAATGTCATTTTTATTTCATTGTGAAATAATTTTAAGCTTAGCAGTAGCACGTCTTCTTTCACAAATACTTTTATAGCCGAATAAACTTGTAAACATTTAGCTTTAAAACATGTTTAACTTCAAAATATGGTAGAGTTAAGATTATTATTTTCATCTTGTCAAACCTTCAACTGTAAGGTACGTTTACCTTATAGAACTACGATGGACTATATCTAGTAAAACCTCAAGCTGAGAGATACGTTCAACCAATTAAAACGTTAGCTTTAATGTATGTTGAACTAGTAAAAACATTAGCCTAAAGATAAGTTCAACTATTGAAACGTCAGAAATTCGTTCAACCATAAAACGATAGACTGGAGGTAGCTCAAAAAGATATGTTCAATAAGAAAAAAATAAATTATGCGCTTGAAATTACCATTAACTCATGCAACATTGAGCAATGATATTCGTCTCCGTTTCACGTTAAATAACGTCAACTGCACGCTATGTTCATCTTATTAGCTCTCTAAACAAACCAACTCGTTACAAATGGGCAGGGACGATACTCGAGCTAGGCAATGCCAAATCTCTGCAGAATTAGAAGAAAAAAAAACAATGCGCTTCGAGGAAATGGTTCCAGCTTTTAGCAGGTTGATGGATGGGCCGGGGACACGCGAGCGGAGCCGGTCTTAGATCACTTTGTCTGGGGAAGTTTCCGTACGTCATTTTAGAAACACGGTGACGTCACGTGAACGAGTCGTGACGTCATTTTAGTAGATGGTGATGTCATTTCAGAACGTCATAACGTCACATGGACATATCATAACGTCACATGTATAAATACTGACGTCACTTTGGCACATAATGACGTCACGTGAAATAATCGTGACGTCACTGGGCAGAATACTGGCGTCAGTTTAAAACATCATGAGATCTCACGGTAAAATCACGTGACATGGAAACATCATGGAGTGAGGTGGAAATAAGGACACGTCATAATGTCCGCATGGAAACATCCGGTGCTGTAGAGAAACATCACTCTCGCAGGGTAGACGAGAGTTAATTATTCATTGAATTTAATCTAAGGATTTAAATAATTAATGAGGCTAATGGGAATAGGGTGATAGGGCTTTCTTACGTGCAGGTTGTTGTGGTGTGGGTAGTTATGTGGGTTGTGGTGTGGGTTGTGGTGTGGGTTGTGGTGTGGGTTATGGTGTGGGTTGTGGTGTGGGTTGTGGTGTGGGTTGTGGTGTGGGTTGTGGTGTGGTGTGGGTTGTGGTGTGGGTTGTGGTGTGGGTTGTGGTGTGGGTTGTGGTGTGGGTTGTGGTGTGGGTTGTGGTGTGGGTTGTGGTGTGGGTTGTGGTGTGGGTTGTGGTGTGGGTTGTGGTGTGGGTTGTGGTGTGGTGTGGGTTGTGGTGTGGGTTGTGGTGTGGTGTGGGTTGGGGTGTGGGTTGTGGTGTGGGTTGTGGTGTGGGTTGTGGTGTGGTGTGGGTTGTGGTGTGGGTTGTGGTGTGGGTTGTGGTGTGGGTTGTGGTGTGGTGTGGGTTGTGGTGTGGGTTGTGGTGTGGGTTGTGGGTTGTGGTGTGGGTTGTGGGTTGTGGTGTGGGTTGTAGTGCGGGTTGTGGCGCGGGTTGTGGTGTGGGTTGTGGTGTGGGTTGTGGTGTGGGTTTAGTGTGGGTTTAGTGTGGGTTTAGTGTGGGTTGTGGTGTGGGTTGTGGTGTGGGTTGTGGTGTGGGTTGTGGTGTGGGTTG